GTCATATATTTTTAATTTTGTCATTTAACGCCGCATTTAGCAATATTCCCACCACATGGCGGCAGTAGCTTCTGGGCTAGACAATCCAGTGATGAACAGTTGAGCATCGATCTATGCAACTGGGATACGATGACATGTGTCAACCATGTCAGTGAGCCTTACCCCCCCCCCCCCCACCCCACCCCCATGTTTAAATGATAACAGAAATGTTCGATATATTCTGATATTTTATAACTTGCCGAGCATAACATATTTGGAGGTTTGCAGGTGTTATTCATCATGCAATGCTTTTGAAGTTCTATCTGCTCTCTAGTTCATACTAGAAGAAGACGGTTTGCTTTGATCAGTATGTACCATTCATCATGACACGTAAGTCAATATATGACTTAGCAATCCGTGAAGATTCGGGATAGAACTGGCCTTCAGCAACCCATGCTTGTCGTAAAAAACCGACTAACGAGACACATGTCATCGTATGTCAGTTGCGTAGATAGATGCTCATAGTGATCACTGGATTGTCTGGTCCTAACTCGATTATTTGCATACCCCTGCCACAAAGCTGGTAGCTGAAATATTACTGAGTGAGTGAGTGAGTGTCGGTATCTGGAATATGATTAAGTGAGTGAGTGAGTGTCGGTATCTGGAATGTGAGTGAGTGAGTGAGTGAATGAGTGAATGAGTGAGTGCCGTATCTGCAATATGAGTGAGTGAGTGAGTGAGTGCCGGTATCTTGAGTGAGTGAGTAGTCCATCGCCCTAACACACGTAAACCAAACCAGTCCCTTGGCAATATTCATTTTCTGTCTCCAGTGAAAGGTTCCTCTGAGAAGAAGTCTGAAACTCCGGGACAAAATGACATTCCTGTTGTCAACATTCCGATATTCGAAATGGTTTGTACATCTGCCAATCCCTCTTACAGTGGTCGCTAATGTTGCATGTAGGTTTATTAATTTTGAGACATACATTTTCTCACAACGAATGAAAAAAGCTTGTCCATTAGAGAGAGTGTGTTTACTAGTAATACCAGACAGCCCTGAGCTAATTTGTTACAAAAATCATTTTAATATCAAATAATGCATTAAATACATTCGCCGGGTTCAACGTCAAATATTCTGCAGTGTAGAACTGGTGGTGATAACTGGCGGTATAATCCGATTTCGGTCGGTTCGAATCCCGCTTTTAGCGTGATATTGATCCTTTGTTTGTCAGTAACACATCAACATATCCCGATATCAATCACTGGGTTGACCCTTAAAAACGTATATACCTCTGAAGATCCGGGTTCAAATTGGTCTTCGACAACCCATTCTTGTCGAGAGGCGACTAACAGGATCAGGTGGTTAGGCTCGCTGATGTGGTTGACACATGTCATCGTATCTCAGTATCGTAGATTGATGCTCATGATGTTGATCACTGGATCGTCTGGTCCAGGTCCGATTATTTACAGACCACCGCTACATGGCTGAATTTGCCTTGTGTGGCCATCAACAAAAACAAAGTAAACACATCATTCAAGATTGAGTAATTCCTTTTCCATTTTGTGTCTGACATTTCATTGAAATATATTATCTTAGCAAAAACTTCCATTCTGAATCTAAATTGATTTATAAGTCTTCGAATTTCTTAGGTTTGGCATCACTCTGGAAAACGACGAAATGACCCCTTTAGACATCTATGTAGAATCTGAGGACGGCAAAAGCCTCAACTTCATGACTTTTGCCTGTCACAGGCCACCAGCTTCATCAACATGAGAAACAGCAGAAGGATGTCCTGACCTAGCATGGACGACATTTGTGCTGGCAGTAGTGTTACAGTGGAATGACTTTCAGGTACACTATCACCAGGACCCGTCAGAATTGGTCTTCAGTAATCCATGCTTGTCGTAAGAGACGACTAACGGGATCGGGTGGTCAGGCTCGCTGACTTGGTTGACATGTATCCAAGTTGCGTTGGCCGATGCTCATGCTGTTGATTTTACAGGATTATCTGGTCCAGACTTGATAATTTACAGACCGCCTCCATACGACTGGGGAGCGGTGGGTTCGTATTGTGGCTAAAGCGTTTGCTCGTCACACCATACACACGGGTTCCACACATGGGTACAATGTGTGAAGCCCATTTCTGGTGTCCCAACCGTGATATTGCTGGAATATTGCTAATAGCAGCGTAAAACCTCACTCACTCAACCTAATATGTGACTTAACTTTCACCAAACCAAGAGCCAATGTGATGACGTATTCAATACGACCAAATCAGTAATATCTACTAATGTTATGAACACATTTATTTCAGCTTTTAGACCAGTATGAAATACAATATCAAGTGTTTGAGCAATGATTCTGAAAGTTATGGGATGCTTTGTCAGGAAAGAGCATGGACATAGTCCATCATTTCTATTCTTCTTCATACAACAAATGCATGGAAAAATACAATAAATGCTAAATGTAGTGACTATTGTAAGTTATTTCTAATCTTTGAAAGTGAACATATACTCTCAAAAACAAGAGACGCATAGGTGATATTGATATATGTAATTTCAAATAATTTTCTAAATTATTGTTTGATTGTTATGTCTTCGTCATTAAAACGCTGTCTTGTGTACACGGAACGAATGCACAGTGCAAGAAACGCATCTTCGGAAACTTTAATGAAAGTCTACTTTCAAAATAGTCAACTTGCATGAAAATGTCATGCAGAAAAATGTGGTTCCTGTTGAACTGTTTACAAGCTATATATGTTAACAGGCATATATTTGAGCTTTTATACTGTGATGTTTGGATGCAACTAATCAAACATTAAATGTGTTATTTCACTTCAAAGTTGGCAGATTGAAATACATGTATTCACCTAATGCGTTTCTTTCTGTTTTGGCATATGCTCATGCAGATTAAGGGGTTTGGGTGCAGACAGTTAAAACAAAGTGATACATGGTTCTACAGTCATGAATGAGTCCATATGTCAGTTTAAAATATGTCAGCCTTACTTTTTGCCAAAGAAAATTGATTGAAATACTTATTTCAGGTGTCTGTTGATAATAATTTGGTGTTCACTCTGAAGATCCCCGAGCCGAAACCAGTGAACGCGGTCACAGTGACAGGAGACGTTAAAGTCCGGAGGATTTACATAGAGTGATACATTTCAAAGATATCACACTTACAACTGTTAATTTTCCAACAATTCGATTTGTCTTATAGATTACACTTAATGCTTTTGTTTATTGTTCCAAGGACACGGTGTAACTATAGTTAACAATATTACAACTGAGAAAGACATAAAATGTTTTACAAGCATTACAGAATTATGAAACAATGTCCATGTCTTTATTTTAAACAATGGTTTGAAAATGGAATAATGATGTTTTTATGCTTTGTGCCTTATGGATGGATGGTCTCATGTGTGACTGAGCGACTGGGAGTTTAATAAGGGCTACCCAGCTCTCACCACGAGGAGGTTGCTCTTCACGTCTGATTCATGGGGCTGTAAGCCAATTCACATTTTGACAGAAATATTATTAACATTTTGAACAAACCAGAAGTGTTTCTTTTCAAAATCACAATATTTGTAAACATTCCATGCACAAGCCATGGCCTATTCTACCACCCATCATGGCAAACTGTGTTGGATAATTGCCAGCTCCGATAACCTCAACTACCAGACGCCATATCTGCCCACCAGGGACGCAACCAACGGTAAACACGTGGCCGAATTGGGTGGCCTTTTACGGCCAGTAATGGGTCTGGATCCTTGTGTAGTTTGTATTTACGTTTAAGCATACACATATCACCAAACCACAAATTCACCAAAAAGAAAAACCAAAGCGTTTTCCCGTTGCTCACACCAAATATGAAATTATTGCGCGCATATATTCTACTGCCATATCTCTTGTCGTCAGTCTGAGGTAAGGTGTAAGGTATTATGATAATTATGTTAAACTATTTACGATTGGACAGTTCATTTTACAATAACCACATGTACTTTCAGTTTACCCAAAGGCATTGCCTGTTAGTGCTATGTTGTTCATTGCGATGCCTACAAACAGTAAAGTATTCAGAAACCCGATTTTGTTTCATTGTTGAAAACCGGACAGGCAAGTTTGTATCCGGACTGGTAATTTTCTAAAGTCACCAGTCCGGCCCTCTGGCTTGGAATTTTGGGAGTTTTAAACACTGGATATACACCAGTATCTTCTCGTTTGACAAGCAACATTTACAGTCGAATCCCGTTTATCAGGACATTTTGGTTACACTCCAAACAAGCAAAACGTATTGCCGATGTATATTGAAAATGTATTCATGTACATGTATATATATATATATATCAATAAATCAATAGTCAAAATAAGCAAAAACAATTAGTCATAACATATACATAAGTGATCGTAAATGTATATGATACCAATAAACATTCTTTCACCACATTGACCCACATTACATCTTACTTCACTTCACTCAGTATCTTGACATTTCCCATGAAGCACACTTATTACTTTAACAAATCTGTCATTGATGTTTGTTTCGTCGGTTTGATTTCATCCAGTTTTTTAACCAAGTCCATCACGGGATTCACAGATGTTTCTTCGCCATTACATTCGTAGAATTGTAACAACCTGTTGGCGTTTTTTAGAGCTTCTGATACTGTTGGCGGGACAACTGCTGGTTGGTCCTCGTCGTCTGTTGGTGGTTGTAGTCTGTTGGCCGGTGTCTACGATAGCGTCTTCGTTCAAGTACTGCTCAGCGGTTGGCCGGTGTCTACGATAGTGTCTTCGTTCACGTACTGCTCAGCTCGTGGCCGGTGTCTACGATAGTGTCTTCGTTCACGTACTGCTCAGCTCGTGGCCGGTGTCTACGATAGTGTCTTCGTTCAGGTACTGCTCAGCTGTTGGCCGGTGTCTACGATAGGGTCTTCGTTCACGTACTGCTCAGCTGTTGGCCGGTGTCTACGATAGTGTCTTCGTTCACGTACTACTCAGCTGGTGGTCGGTGTCTACGATAGTGTCTTCGTTCACGTACTGCTCAGCAGTTGGGACCTCGTCCCCATCACTTCTTGCATTAAATTTCGCAGCTCAGCAAGGGTGATGTCATCATCGCTTTCGTCCTCAATCTCAGCTGTCGTGGGAATTATGTCGACGTGTTTGAAGCACTTCGCACTCACTTCATCCCAGGTAGACTTGACAAACCGGATTGCTAACCTTAGTGTTAGCGTCTGGGGTTGGCCATTCTTAGCACATGTGATGTAGTGTTTCACTAGCGACTTCTTGTAAAGGGCTTTAAAGTTCCGGATGATACCAGCGTCCATTGGTTGAATATGAGCAGTGGTGTTGGGAGGAAGGAAGTGCATGGTGACGTTGATCAGTCGAAGGTCCTTTGGCTTATGTATTCTAATTCATATTAGACAGTCGGATCCATGCAGTTATTAATATACCAGTGCATATTACATAGGTTTCAACATTGCCGAGTATCAGTGAGATACAAGCTATTAATAATCTTATTAGACAGTCTGGTAAAAGCATTAATGTCTAAAAACAACAACAACAAAACAACAACATTTATTCCATTGCCCGTTTGACAACATCGTATCAGCCTCTCTCCACTTCGACTGTTTTTTTCTACTTCCATCCTATCTCAAGACCGCCGTGATGTTGCTGGAATATTGCTTAAAGCGGCGTAAAACTAAACTCACGCACTCCTAACTCAAGCGCTCCTAATGGTTGCTTCTTCTGAAAATGAGGGTTCCCTCGCACACTTACGTCTTGGGCAAGGGAGTTAACTCACGATAAATGTCCAGTTCCCACCCCTGGCAATGTAGGCTCGAAGTTTGTAGCACGATCCGCCAATGGCTATTAGGAGTTGTGTCCCCTGTATGTCCTTTTCTCTTGACCAATCAGATTCCTCCCTTTACTTGGGCAACTCATGCCTGTCGGAAATGTGGTCGGACACGCCGAGCTGGTCGATGCGTAGCATCGTATCCCAGGTTTGTAGGTGTGTATGGATGGTGTGTATGGATGGATGGGTCACGAATCAGTTGAAGTCAAGCAACGTCGAGCTCTCCAGACCGTGTCTAGGACTTCAGTCCTGCCCCACAACGAAGCACATGTGATGCATGTGGTCTTACCTTAGGCAAGTGAGTTTGTTCAAAATTGTCTCTGTTCACCCAGCAGAAAATGGGTACCCGGTTGGATAAAGTCATGTGACTATAACCTTCTAGCGCCTAACAGGCAGCTTGGGTTATCCGGGGTGATGATAATCAGATTCTGAGTAAGCACCGCCAACAATCACCTGGTGTTTGGATTCTGTGCGCTATAGTAGATGACTTATTGTTATTATTATTATTATTATTATTATTATTATTATTATGGGTGGATGGGTGTTTGGATGGATGTATACATGGAACATCTTCCTTACAGCCTTACATAATGAATAGGTCGTCAATTAAGTTAGTAAATCATTCTATATGGCAACCACTATAGAAGTTATCGGCCGAAGGTCCTTAGCACATTTTCTACGGTAACAATGTTCGATTTGAAAATGAACCTTGTCATTCCAATACTGTAATTCTTTAATGCTTGTGTAGCTCGGCATGTGTTTCCTAAACCGAAAGGCACGAAATTAAGTCTAAAGGTTTGTTATTTTCACGTTATGTCCCCTTATCTTTGTTTCATTGGCATATTTGAGGGCCTGCTTGGAAATGCCCTGATTTGCTAAAAGAGGCAGCCAACCAGTTACGCCAATGAACTATTTGAGATGGGAGGCAGAGGATATCACCCAAAATACCACAGACAAATTGGAAGACAATCAGAAAATGGATAAAGTGAAATATCTCTGGTGTTTAGGACCCGGGTCCTACATGGTGTCACCGTGACCGAAATGAAGCAACACCTTAGCTTGTGTTCAAGGGAGGTAACCAAGCAACATCCGGTTAATGTTTCCTTTAACCCCAAACAAGTTGGCCACTTCCGCTATGTGTCTTCAGTCTCCTGTTTGTCTTAGAAGGTCGTGGGACCTGCTCACTGCGCTGAGCTATGCCACTAATGCTAACTACAATATATCCTGTAGTGTAATGACTCAATAAACAGTCTATGAATAGTAGATGAATTATCGATACGAATTGACTTCAAAATACTTATTTTCATTATGCAACACAGAATATGACACCTCAAGAAACAAAAATAAAATAAATATTGAAGTTCATTCATTGTCGAATGGCATCAGAGCAATGATCTTACCTTCATGTAAAATACTTTAATTTCAATGATCAATGACGCTTTAACAAGTTTCCGTATTACCCCTCCCAGGTTGGTTACAACTGGAAAAATATATTACCCGCTGCCACGGTAACCGCCAAACTCTCCGCCGACAAGTTGTATCGCTAACAATCGTATGATATCATAATATGACGCATGCAGTGCCCGGAGTCCGAAAACCGTTCGATTAGTTGTTTTTGAGTTTACTATGTACAGGTTTATTTTACCGACTTCCACTGCCTTATTTAAATTATTTTAGACATTGAGTCGTTTGCACACTCAACTAAAATATAATTGACCATTTTTATAGCAGTTTTAAGCTTGTTAGAATATATTTCACTGATTTAAAAAATCCAGTCGAGAGGCAGACACCATTTTGTTTGTATGTCATATAGTCGGTAGCGATCGCCTACCGGCTCGGCTGACACTGCTACAAAGAGGCGTACATCAGACCGTATTACCCTCGAGAGAAGCATACAACTTATATTATACCTGCAAAAGCAAAAATAAAATACTGAAGTCCTTTCCTAGTTGCATGGCGTCAGATGAACGCCTTGTATTACAACTGTTTGGGAGATGCATGGCGTAGAGCAGAAGACTCCCTGTCAATTGTCCTTTCATTACACTGGTGAATCACAACATCAACATCGTTTGAATAAAAATATAAAGGTGGTTACAATTATTCAACTGTATTGTCTACAAACGAATGGTTCGCAATACTGGATCTAACGACTGTAAAACAGATCGAATAATAAGCAAACACGCTGATAGAATATTTTTTAGTGAAACCAGATTTTAGCTGAACACTGCTGCCCATATAACACAGTATTATAGCCACTGCAAACAAATGGAGGATGTGGTCGATCAACGTTGGACATACGGATGTTGTGAATGTAAACACTGACAAGTCGATTACTGGTAGATGTGTCAGGTGGCTTGGTATAATTACCATCATGATAATCATAATCACAACACTGTATTATTATATTATTATACTAATATTTGTACAGCACCAGTGTCCACCTCAGCTGCTCAAAGGCGTTTTGTTTTCCCCTCCATCATTGGATGTCAATCAACGGCACATCGTATTATCAATCTCAATCTCCCTGGGGAGTATACAACTCTTGCTGCCACTAGGCACACCGAGTTATTGCGGCTTTCTCATCCTAACAAGGTATCCATTCACAGCTGGGTGGACTGGGACACATAGTCACAGCACTTTGTCCAAGTTAACTGCACGTTGCTGTACCCGCAACTAGGTGTTTGCACGTATTCATGTGGCCACCATATAGTCATATACCAACGGGTTCGTGGGTTCTTTTAAGTGCACAGGGTTGTGTACTGTACACTAGGGGTTGTGTACTGTACGCTTGGGGTTCTGTACTGTACGCTTGGGGTTCTGTACTGTACGCTTGGGGTTGTGTACTGTTCGCTTGGGGTTGTGTACAGTACTCTAGGGGATGTGTACTGTACACTAGGGGTTGTGCACGGTACACTAGGAGTTGTGTACTGTACACCGTGGGTTGCGTACTGTACACCGTGGGTTGTGTACTGTACACTAGGGGTTGTGTATTGTACACTTGGGGTTGTGTACTGTACACCGTGGGTTGTGTACTGTACACTAGGGGCTGAGTAATGCACGCTAGGGTGTGTGTACTGTACACTAGGGCTTGTGTACTATACTCTAGGGGTTGTGTACTGTACACCGTGGGTTGTGTACTGTACACTAGGGGTTGTGTACTGTACGCTAGGGGATGTTTACTGTACACTAGGGGTTGTGTACTATACGCTAGGGTTTCTGTACTGTACGCTAGGGGTTGTGTATTGTACACTAGCGACTGTGTACTGTACACTAGGGGTTGTGTACTGTATACCGTGGGTTGTGTACTGTACACTAGGGACTTTGTACTGTACACAAGTGGCTGTGTACTGTGCGCTAGGTGTTGTGTACTGTACACTAGGGTGTGTGTACTGTACACTAGGGGTTGTGTACTGTACACTAGGGGTTGTGTACTGTACACTAGGGATTGTGTGTACTGTACACTAGGGTACACTAGGGGCTGTGTACTGTGCGCTAGGTGTTGTGTACTGTACGCTAGGGGTTGTGTACTGTACGCTAGGGGATGTGTACTGTACACTAGGGGTTATGTATTATACGCTAGGATTTCTGTACTGTACGCTAGGGGTTGTGTATTGTACACTAGCGACTGTGTACTGTACGCTAGGGGTTGTGTACTGTATACCGTGGGTTGTGTAGTGTATACCGTGGGTTGTGTACTGTACACTAGGGACTGTGTACCGTACACTAGGGGCTGTGTTTTGTACGCTAGGGGTTGTGTACTGTACGCTTGGGGTTGTGCACTGTACACTAGGGGGTGTGTACTGTACACTAGGGGTTGTGTACTGTACACTAGGGGATGTGTACTGTACGCTAGGGGTTGTGTACTGTATACCGTGGGTTGTGTACTGTACACTAGGGACTGTGTACCGTACACTAGGGGATGTGTACTGTACACTAGGGGTTGTGTACTGTACGGTAGGGAGTGTACTGTACACCAGGGGTTGTGTACTGTACGCTACGGTTTGGCTGTACTGTACACTAGTGGTTGTGTACTGTACGCTAGGGTTGTGTACTGTACGCTAGGGGTTGTGTACTGTACGCTAGGGGTTATGTACTGTACACTTGGGATTGTGTACTGTATACTAGGGGTTGTGTACTGTACACTAGGGGTTGTGTACTGTACACTAGGGGCTATGTACTGTACACTAGGGGTTGTGTACTGTACACTAGGTGTTGTGTACTGTACGATAGGGAATGTATTCTGTACACTAGGGGTTGTGTACTGTACACCGCGGGTTGTGTACTGTATACCGTGGGTTGTGTACTGTACACTAGGAACTGTATACCGTGGGGGCTGTGTACTGTACACTAGGGGCTGTGTACTGTACACTAGGGGCTGTGTACTGTACGCTAGGGGTTGTGTACTGTACGGTAGGGGTTGTGTACTGTACGATAGGGGATGTGTACTGTACACTAGGGGTTGTGTACTGTACGCTATTGTTTCTGTACTGTACGCTAGGGGTTGTGTATTGTACA